TATAAATAAACTATTTGTCAAACAAAGGACTCATTGATTGTATTTGTGTGAAGTGCTAATGGATTGTCTCCTGCAATGGCTAACTCTCAATGACTATGTGTTGGCATAACATATAGCACAGAGGACTTCGATTAACCGCAACACTCTGTGATTAGCCGTAAATTGTCATTAAATTGAGTGCACTTTATAAAAATGACTCCCTTTTCGATAAAATACAGACTATTTATGAAAGTCTGCGAAAACACGTTATTTATTGTGAGGCCATTACAGCACCGGTTGTTTACATCGGAGTAAATGGTTGTCAGTCAACGACTGATTGTGTGGTAAATAGGTATCAATTGGTGATCATTGGAGACAACAGACAGAGTAGTGATGCCTAAAGTAAGACGGGCCCGAAGTAAGCCGCCCCCCGAGGGCTGGGAACTGATTGAGCCGACACTCGAGGAATTAGAGGCAAAGATGAGGGACGCGGAGACGGAGACACACGAAGGCAAACGCAAGACTGAGTCCTTGTGGCCTATCTTTAAGATCCATCACCAGAGGAGTCGCTATATCTATGACCTCTTCTACAAGAGGAAAGCCATCTCGAGAGAGCTGTACGACTACTGCCTTAAGCAGCGGATCGCAGACCAGGCGCTGATCGCGAAGTGGAAGAAACAGGGTTTGTGTCGACCATTGCATCGACTGGTCGTGTCTTAAGCACTGTATGTCTAATGATATGATGTATTGAATAGGCTATGAAAACCTGTGTTGTTTGCGGTGCATCCAAGTGCGGGACACCAACTTTGGCACGAATTGCATCTGTCGAGTGCCGCGAGAGAAACTCGAAGACCCCAACGGAACCACTCGTGAGTGCGTTCACTGCGGATGTCGTGGCTGTTCTGGTTAGACATGATTCGCACCATTCATTCAAACGAAATCTTGTCTTTTATTTGATTATATTATAAATGCTATCATTTCGTACTCATTATTGACAACAACTTTATAATGAATTACTTATAAATACAACATTATTTCAATTTAACTAAACATTCAATTAATTTGAAAATAAATATTTCAATTTATGGACAAAACGTCTAATTATTTCGTGGTTTCATAAATATTTAACCGGATTTTCATCCAATACACGATTCAATCTATTTACTACCGTAAATACAGTATAAAGAATACATACAATACTTCTGTACGTAACCATCGATGAGATAATAGTGGAGAAGACATTCTGTGCTCTTATTCTTTAGTAGAGATTATTCTGATTCCGAACCGAATCCTTAACTGTTCGAAGAAGACGAATGTCAGTATAGTCTGTGGCGCCAGACGTATGAACGCCGGGACGTATCCCTTGAAGAACCCCATAAGACCTGACTGTTTGTATAGGAGACCAATACACTGACCCACACTCTGGTACTCATTGGCCGACGCGTTCATTAATCTTGTTTTCAAGACATCCAACTGTTATTATAAATA